ATTTGGGTCTAGCAGCATGCTATCACCATCGCTCTCTTTTCAAGGCACACGACATAACAAGTCACCATCAATCCATCGCACCCAAAAAAATATAAAAAACGGAATCAGGAGGCTCGCTTCCTTTTCTTCTGCTGATTTCGCTTTCCTGGTACCACGCTCGAAGCCTTTGGCTTCGATCTGTTCTTGTTCTTGACGTTAACAACGTCCATAAAAATTGGATCCTATCTTTTGCTTTTCTTTTCCCGTTCCTCTTTCCGCCTCTGCTTGGCTGTTTTCTTGTCAGCAGACTTCTCTGCGCCATCGTCCCTCGTCCTCGGCGAGTTTCCTCTATGTGCCCGACTTCCGCTTGCTCCTGGTGCCGGCGTGGCCGGCTGCGGCTCCACCTGCAGCGGCTCGCTCTCGTCCTCGCTCTCGGACTCGTGCCGGCTCGTCGTCCGACACGTACAGATCCTCGTCCTGCTGCAGCGGCTGGTCGTCGTCGCCCCTCGAACTCCAGGTCCGTGTGCACGCGAACTGAGGTCCTGGCTGACGGCGTGCACCGGCTGCGCCTGGGGCTCCTCGCCGTCCGCCGCCTGCGCCTCCCCACTGTGCGCCGGCCTGCTCAGCCTGCGCCTGCGCACTGCTGCCGCCTGCTCCGCCCGCGGGTCGGCCGCGCCCGCCTCGCGAGCCGTGCCGCAGCCGGGCGGCGGCACGAAGTACGGGACCCGGCCGCGCTGGAAGTCGTTCAGGATCTGCTTGGAGACGGTGTTGACGTCCGGGCCCCGCCCTTGAGCAGCTTGCCGGTGCGCTTGGCGATGCGCTCCAGGAAGTCTTCACAGTCGGTCCAGTCGGCCACGCCGTACGTGCGCCGCATAATACTCGGGCCGCACGCGCTCCAGCACGGCCGGGATGTAGTCCTTCGGGCTGCTGATGAGCTCGACACGCACCACGCCCTTCAGCAACCTTCTCGGTGTCCGTCTCACCGGACGGGTACACAACGCCGGGACAGTCGATCAAGTAGATACGCCTTCATCAGCGCGATTACTGCCACACCTTGGTCTTCGCCGGCGATCGGCGCTACCTTACACACCTTCCTTCGTCTTGATGGTGTTGATGATGGAGCTCTTGCCCACGTTGGGGTAGCCGATGAAGCCGACGCTGATCTGCTTCTTGTGCAGAGTGCAGCTTGCTGAACTGGCGCAGCAGGTTTGATGAGCGGCGCCCTTGCCGAACGAGTTGGTCAGCGACGCGTGGAAGGCCAATGGTCGGGTACTCCTGGCTCAGCATCGCCACCCACTTCTGCGTCACCCAAGTCGGCACAAGGTCCACCTTGTCAGCACGAAGATGAGATGCTTGTGCGCTTTGTCCTTCTTCAGGTACTTCTCCCACGTAGGGTGACCGCGTGCCCATCCGGGTCGCGGGCGTCCAGCACCTGCACCACCCACAATCCGACGAATCGATCACCTTGTACAGCTCGTTCCAGATGCGCTTGCTCTGTCCGGCGGCCCCATGACCCAGTCGCAGCTGGCCCTCGCGCACGTCAGGCGCCTCGCGCACGAGGTCGCGGTCCTTCTCGGGCGCGTACCGGTCCTGCTTGCCGACACGCCGCTCGGCGTAGCTGGCCAGGTCGCTGGTGGTGATCTTGGGCCGCTTGCCGCGTCCGTTTGGGTCCAAAAACACACTGTCCAAAGCTCTACCGTCTCCAGCAGGTGGACGCGTTGCGTCTTGGCGCGCTCACCGAGCAGCGTGACGGGCAGCTTGTTTTGCTTCATCACCACCTGTACGGGTCCTTGACGGCCGCGCCCAGCTCCTCCTGGAACTTCTGCAGCGCCGCCCTGGGAGATGACCTTCGTGTTACCGAACCATCGCTGGTTCGGCTCGACGCGCGCCAACCGTGCCCGGCGTCAGCTTCGACTGGAACGGGCATCGGTCGCAGTATCTTGCCGTGGCTTGTCCCGTTTGGCCTTCTGGTTGCGGTACATCTGCAGGCGCTTGATGGTGGCGCGGTCGCGCGCGAACGGCGCGGCCCCGCAAGGTCCACCTTGGCCGACGCCCCGGTCCGGGTTCATGCTGTGCCCGGCCGGGTTGAACCCACTGGGCTTCGAGCTGATGCGCGCTTGCGCACGCTTTTTTGTCTTCGCATGGCGCCGACAGCTGCAACAAAACCGACGAGCTGACGAGGTGGTTGTGGTCGGTATGGGAACGACATATGCTGTATCTAACGAGCACAGACATTGGCGTTGGACAACACAGACAGACAACTAGCACAACATATTGCCCATAGCCCTGCTAGTTTCACATGAGTGAACCAATGCACTAGAAGTTAACAGGTAGGTCCCAGAAGTCCCCTCAAATACAGGAAAGCTGGCATTTGTGCTTTAAAGACCTCTGCTCTAACCGAAATTGGGTTATCATTTTCACCTTCCTGTCTTGCTTATGCTCTGATTCAATGCATTAGGGCATTCATGAACAGTAGCATTACACACAGATGCAAGAGATGGACAGGAGAGCTGGGATGGACCACCCTAACATTACCTGGGGTAAAATTAAATTTTGAGATCCAATTATCAGACCCCCAACTGATTTTCCCAATTGGCCTGCGTCATTGGGGCTTCATGACGCACTCAGCTGCTGGGCTACATGGCGTCGCCTGCCTCTCACCCCGGCAGGAAGGCTGCGGGGAATCAAACTCCGCACCTCTGGATTCCCAGACATGCAGGGTTGACAGACATGTTAACCACTGCACTACCAGTACCCTGTATTTCTATTCCCAATTAGAACTTGGCTCAGAGAGCAGCATGCTCTCAGTTTTGAGCATCTGTGCCCCTTCTGGATAGGCTTGGCTGCATAGCTTCTGGCACCACTGTCAATTGTTAGACCACTCTGATAGACACCAGTAGGTAACCCCATATAGCATATGTGGCTAAATGCAACACCATAAGACCCCAGAAAAAGAGATCAGTGGTAACTGAAGCACATGGCCCATGCAGCTGATATCATGATCTATCACACAATTCACAGTCAGCAGCAAATAACTCCAACAAACAACTGATGCTTGTCTTAAGCTACCCAGTCCCTTATCCTTTTAATGCTTAATGGTGATAGCAATAGCATATGCATAACAGAAAGAATGAATAATGGATCTCATGGGAGCATATGATGACAGGCTCCAGGAACTCACTTTGCATATTCAGACCACATTCTTATCTCCAAATTTGTGTCAGATCAATCACCCTGCCCAATTTAGCACCCTTTAATTGGTTCAAAAAGGTGCAACTTTTGATCCACTTTAATGCAATGCATTGCTTCATATTGTAATTGTGATGTTATCCATGCACTGCAGATAATTATCACATAATATTGTATGGCAAGAATTCAGCCTGCAGAATGCTGTCATTAAAACCAAATTTAATAGCTATAAAAATACCATTTACTTTGCCAGATTGAAGCCAGTATGAATATAATACTTATGATAATAGGCTGCAGCACCCCATTTCCCATTTAAAACCACAGCAGAGTGCTGACAATACATGCACTACCCTAACCATCAAGAGTCTTCCTTCCATTTCAACATGCATTCTTTTCACTTGATCTGTGATGCACTGAGTTACTCTTGCTGTAGCAATTTTTCTTGTGCACTGAAATTCTATATCATTTAACATGTTGATACAATTTAATTCAGATGTTCACTAACAGCCCAGTCTGCAAATAAATCTGTTCAGTACCAGATACACACAAACAGCATGGATGCAATGAAAAATGAGTCTGTATGCAATAAACTCAGGCCAGAGTCACTGGCACTGAACTTTTAAAATTATTCTTGCTTGAAAAATATTTTCAAGAAATTTTGGGTGCAACTATCTTGACAACATCATAATTCCCTGAGGCACTGACTCTCATGTGATGATATTGGTGGCAGACATGTGCCTGACTCTGAGCTTCTGCATTCACTGCATGTATGCACTGAAGTTGCTCATAGAATATTCATTGAAATACTGGACACATTCTGCACATCATGTCTATATCAGTCAGGGTATGTGCCAGACAGTACCATGTACCAGTAGCAAAATCAGGCCAGACTGAATTGCATTGTGTTGGATCTATTTCTGAGAAAAATGTTTTGAGTGTTTCTGAAGAAATTACTTCACCACCACCAACATTGTTTTTGAGTTACCACATTTATGAAGCATGTGCGATTAAATTTTTGCCACGATATCGCTGCTGCGTTGGCTATCCTCAACATAACGTGAACATGTTGGCGTTCCAGACAGGGTTCAGGTCTAGACCACCAAAGCCATGGCGGGACCTCCTCCAGAAGCACCCACCGAGTTCTCAAATCTTAACAGCGACAGCCTCAAAAACGTACCTTATGGATAATACAAGCTGGAACTATGCGCGATTGAGTTCCTGAAATCTCCTCCACTTCCTCGCCGAATGCCAACTCGCCTACCGATAAGGTCAGTACTTCCTGATCACATGGTCTGCTCATGCACGCCATGCACGTAAACGCCGCAAGTAAAGCATGTATGGCAAAGCACTTATTGCTACCAAATTTAGCCTGACCAGGGAAAATTCATCCTTGTTTGTTGCAGTTTTATGTTCCATTTGCTTACTTGCGGCATGCTCGTGCAGAAATGACATTTCAACGGACCTTTTTTAGAAACTTAGTTATATTGATGTTAAAAGAATAAATTTCATCTCGGAAGACTAAAGGCCTCGTAGAAGCGGCACTTTATTCACCACTATTAGGCTGTGAGCGATTGCCACTTGATAACTACGATTCCAAAAAATGGAAACGCCGGACACATACGAAACTGGCTCTTCCTGCCTTATTTGAATGCATTTAACTCAACTAAGTACTTTTCAAAACTTAAATGCATCGACACAGCAGGGATAACCAGTGTCAACAGGATACCTTTTCCCGGACAAAGTGGTGCCCTCTAACGTGAAGAAAATTGCCTGAAGCTGTTGGGTGCTACCAAATGCCGCCAATCAGCTGCACGGTTGTGGACGTAGAGGAATTTCATTCATTGGCGAGTGTTGGAGGGAGGGTGCCGCTCCGTCTTCGCGCGTGGACAAATGGGATAGCGTTGGTTCGCAAGCAGAACACGTGGAGCAGACGTTTCGAGCATCGATACTTTCGCGCTCTTTCGACTTCCGGCGCATACTCTGGTCAGGCCTTGAGGTGAGAACTCTGCGACCTACAGAATGTTTATGCTTAGATACTAAGGACCGAGTCGAGTACATGTACAAAAAATATACTTATGTATTTAGACATGCGTGCGCTGTGCATCCACGTCATTGCGATATTAGAGAGTGTCTGTGCATGCGGTTTAAACTTGTCACGTTTGTATTCAATGTAAAATCTTTGTCAATAATCAGGGGACTCATACTAAAATCATGGTTGGATCCTTTTGTAGCCAAGGCCAAATAAAAAGGAAGTAGAGCTTGCTGGCAAATAGCCATACAAATATCCTGAGGGACAGGATGGCCAGATATAGATTGGAAAGGAGAGGCTTTAAGCCTCAGAAAGGTGCAAGGCTTGTGTCCTTGGAGATTGTGTTGGTGTTTGAGAAACATCCACCCCTTTTGGAGGCCTGTTTGATGCTTTACACTTGATGAGTACCACTGGACTGGGCAGATGCAATGCACTTATGATCACCTCTTTGATAGATTGCACCATAACAGGTTTTAGTGCAGGATGAGTGTGGTGTGTTGAGCTCTCCACTTTTGACTGTGTGATATTTATACCAGTTTTTAGAGATGGTTTCCTGGTTTTAACAAACTCATGTGTGCTACCAATTGTACTATATGAAAGATGGTAATGCACACCCATTTGTCATATAGTTACTCAGTGGCCATTTATTAAAAAATATCATTGGTTTGTAAGTATTGCTTCTTTTTGTGATATATTTGGATTTTACGCACCTTTTGCATTCACCGCTTCTGCATCTTATTATCATTTTGTAACTATTTACATTGGTCCTGTGTTTTATGCTGTGATAAGGTATTCATATTACTTAATTGTTGTTTGACATTTCCTGCATCATTCAAATTGCCTGTTTTTCCAACCAGCATGTTTTTATTGGCAAAGACATCCCTAACTGCAGTACATTTAGTTTTGTGTGGTAATTTATGCTTTTGTTGGCATGCAGACTGGTTAAAGCTTATTGGATATATGAGGTTTTTATATGGTCTGCCTTGCAGGGTATTTGTGGACTCAAAATTGGTCTTACCATCTTGCTTATAGCACTACTAACTATCTACATGTCATCCATGGTATTGATGCTGTATAGACCTTTCCTGCATGTTGCACTTGGTCCTGGTGGACTGCTGAACATCTGTGAAGTGGGTGCCAGCGCGACAGTGTCGACACGGAGGGATGACGCTGCACTACAGCAGCCTTTAGATGTGACAGAGACCGATCGCGATCACGTGCTATGCTCGGCTTTAGGACTTGCATGGGGATATTCCCCACGTCAGTATTCATTGTAAGACCCGGAAAATCGATTGGCGTACTAGCCGCCCATGGAGTGGTTCGTCCTGCACTTCGTCACGTGGTGTGCACCCTGCGACCCCTGGCGTCCTCGGGAGTAAGGCTGTACTCGCCCAGGCGCCGGTGCGCGTACTGTGTCAGCCGGGGTCAGACGGCTGCCGTCTCCGGCACCGGCACCGGCCAAAGTCGGGGCCACGGGCACCGACCTGCGCTGTGGCAGCGCCGGACGTGCTGACGACGCGTCTGAGCCCTGGTTCACCCCGTGCCGTGCCGTCCCGGACGGCGCCGCCGCCGCCGCCGCCGCCGCCGCGCGCCACCGCCTGGAATCCCGTCTCGGCCGCTGCCGGCCTTGTAAATGCAGCTGCCCGCGCCGCCAGCCGACGTGTTGCCATGCAACGGGAGCCTGCCGGCGCCGGCCGCGCGACCCGCCGCCACGCGGCGCCCGCCGGCGCCGTGGGTCACGAACCGACGCCGGCGACAGAGCGGGCTCTCGAAACAGCTGCCCGCGCCGCCAGCCGGCGTGTTGCCATGCAGCGGGAGCCTGCCGGCGCCGGCCGCGCGACCCGCCGCCACGCGGCGCCCGCCGGCGCCGTGGGTCACGAACCGACGCCGGCGACAGAGCGGACTCTCGAAACCGCTCTCTTGAGTGTTTGGTCGGAACGCTGTGGTGGGCTCAGCGATGGTCGGATGGTAGAGCCGCCCACCATTTGACCGCTCTGAATGTCCTCAGGGCTCCGACTTTGACAGCATGACCCGTTACAAAGTCTTGGTGTAGCGCCTAGGGGCACTCGTGCACCAACGCCGTGTTATGCTTCCGATCTGCTTACTCCCACGCCTACGCGCTACGCTGCCTCCCACATTTACGCTGCGGTTCTGGCTTCGCTTCCATTGGTGCTTCACAGAGACCTTGACAGTCCCACGCCCCAACGCTCCTGGGAACACAGGCAACGTGGGAGGTCACTGGGGTTGCATTGTGAGACAGTTTGTCTGTGTCTCGCACGAGGTCTTGTCCTCAGCGATATTCGTACTCTACCCGATCGCTGTGGCGGCTGGCGCTGGGTGGTCTGGGTAAACCTTCCACGGCTGAAGTGGCGGAACCATACCGCGCTCCTTTGATCCGACGTTGTGTTCTCACCAAATGCTGGTCTGGCGTTTTGAGCCCCATTGCTGTCGACAAGACGTGATGACTGCGCTCCAGCACACAGACGAAACCAGACTGAGCTGTGTTGTGCTCGAATTTTTGGAGCCTGCGATAGGTCGGCAAAGGCATATTCAGGTGATTGTAGCCAGGTGGGGCCACCGAGAAATTTTCAATTGTGTGGGCTATTCGAAGCATGTCGGCATAAGAGGAACTGTCCTTGCAGGAAGTCCGCGGAGGAATGCCGTCGCTGTTTTGCGACATGTGCAAATAGAGCAGTCAAGAACTGAGCCTCTGGTAATCTCTAGAAATATTGTGTATCGTAGCCTTAGTATTAAGCACATGTCCCGCAACCCTTTCCATCGCGACGCTGCGATATTCCGCGCGTATACTGTCTCTCCATTGTTGTTAATACGGGTTCTGCAGGAGCCCAATACCATAGTGGTGTACCGGTTCTGCGGTATAGTTCGCTCTGTCCGACACTGGCCCCAGCGTGAAGAGACCAAGCGATGCTGTCTCAGCCACATGCACATCATGGATAACGGTTAAAATAACATGCCAAGTAAATATTGAGTGGTTTTGAAAATGCTTGTGTTTTTTGGCACCTCCAAATTCCAGTGTTCTCGCATATTCTAGTAATGATTTTGGCTATCCGCCGAGTTCTAGCATGCCAATCGGGTTATTCCCACCTCAAGTGAGGGGAGGGAAACGCTTTAAAAATAAACATTTTCTAGTCTTCGGTAAAATCTAAGCATTTTTAGGTAGGAAATTTCGTGTAGCGCTGAGCACTGCTCACAAAGTAAAATACGATGGTTGTTTGAAAATTCAGAATTTTTTACTTTGTCCCCAAAGTCATTGCTACCCTCTCTTCCTCCCCCCCCCCCCCCCCCCCCACCATTGTACCACGAGTGAAATGCGCAAAATATTATCGGCTGGCGCTGCGTTACAACTGCCACTACTGTTAGCTTTCCCCACTCCGCTGCGTCAAATGTGCGGGCTCCTTTTAACTATGGGCGCAAGAAATTGGATTCGCCATGACCTTGCCTGCTTTTGCTCGCGATGGATTCCTCTGGTCGTTCTTACAGGCAGTAATGCTATGCTGGGAACGTGGGCGAACTGTAAACCGCTTTGAGTCCCATAATATTATCCTTTGCCGGCTGTCATCTCTGCGTTAGCCGCCGTGACAAGTGAGGGGAGGATAGCGCACAGGCACGTCGCCGGGTATGTGGTCGAGCACTGTGAGACACGGGCGCTCTCGGCGAGCCTGTGTGGTGCTCCAGGCGCTGGCTTGTGCTCCGTCTCGCCGGCCACCAGGGTAGCGGCTTTTGCTCCGCGGGACTCTGCGGTACAGGCATTCCCATCCCTGTCGACCGGAATAGTGACCAGTGGGCTGTTGAGCAGCCCACTGGCTCGCAGCAGCTGACAGTTGACCGAGCGCGGTCACAAAAGCTGGGGGCGGCGACGTAGCGCGGTTGGGGAGCTGGGGAGGGTGCGCTCTCCCAGTCTCCGTCTCCTGATCCTGGTCTGGGCTCCCTGTCGATCCTGATCTCCCCTCCGTACCACTGCCAGGCGGTCCACCTGAGCTGGTGACTGGGCGAGGGCGGTTCTGATCTCAGCGGTGGTGGTGTTTAGTGAAGCAAGGACGATGCTCGGCCGCCGGGAGCGTTGCCGGGGGAGGCTGGTCCTGCCCGTCCGGCAGCGGAGCCGGCGCCGAGACGCTCCGGACCGCGAGCCGTGCCGCCGACCGGGCCGAGCGGGGCGCGGCCGGGCGCCAGTGCCGCCGCGCCGGTGCCGTGCCCACCTGCAGCCATCACGGCGGCCGTGCAGCGGCGCCGGCGCAGTCTAGCATGACCCAGTGCGGCATTCCGATCAGTTCATCGGCGCGGACGTGCCGGCTGGCGGGCGGCATTCCAGCGTCTGCCGGCCGGCACTGACCGACCTCGGCCCAGCGTCTGCCGGCCGGCACTGACCGACCCCGACCCCGGCCGGCCTCGCCCGCCTCCCGGCTCAGCGTCTGCCGGCCGGTGCTGACCGACCCCGGCCGGCCGCGCCTGTCCGGCCCAGCGTCTGCCGGTCGGTGCTGGCCGACCCCGGCCCAGCGTCTGCCGGCCGGCACTGACCGACCCCGGCCGGCCGCGCCCGCCGCCCGGCTCAACGGCCGCCGGTCAGACACGCTGGTGCTGCGCTCCACAGATAGATGATGAGCCGGCGGTGCTGCGCTGATCTACCAGGTGGTGCTGAGCTGAAGGAGCACTAACCTCGGAGGGATGCTGCGCTGTGGAACGCTGGTGCGGATCTAGGAGGGAGGGCGGAGGGGGGGGGGGGGGACTGGCGGGCCAGGCTGTGACACGGCATTTCTGCATCCGGCGCTGCATGTTGACTTTCGCTGGCAGCTCTTGCAGAGATGCTGGAGGTACTTGGTGGGCTCGATTCGGGCAGAGCGTAATGGCTTGCGCCCGTTTTTCGACGCAAGAATTCGACGTTACCTTTGCATTTTCAAAGTCCCCTTTTCGTGGCTGATAGTGCATCTATATTCGTAACAGCCTGGTGTGATGGCCTCAATGTCTCGAAGCATATACTACACTTTGGTCAAACCTTTATTCACGATATCATTAATTCAGGAATTATACGGCGCGTTTATATATCAATCTGTGGTCTTTTGGTCCGTAATTTGATTCAGTTCACACACCGTGAGAATGTAGACCAGAACATTCTCCGGAAATTAGCATGCGGACGGTTCACCGTCATGCCCACGTGCTTATGTAATAAGCAGCCATCAGCTAACTCCTATCTCTTTTTGCCCTACGTTTTTCCGTCACAATCGTCTCGGGATTCAGTTTTAACCACTCAATACCCGTTTTTTGGATCTCGTTAAACTTAACGGTTAGGTATTCATAAGTATGAAAATTACATATCTAGTGGTGAAAAGGAGCTGAAAGTGTGGCAATCATTTCGTGCGTAGGCCGCCCAGCTTGATTCCTTGGTTATGCCGTCCTCTAAACTTTCAATCGTCTTTGTTTTATTTTCTGACATCCTTTTTTTCTTCCCATCTCGGGACCACAATGAAAAGAGCCGGAAATCCACCGCGCATTCGTGCGGTCATGTCTGCCGGCTGCTGCGTCTGCCGGGTCTGCCGTATCGCGCCGAACCTGACGACAGTAAACATTTACCATGTCGCCGGACGAACAAGCCGGCGCTGAAGTTGGTGGACATCCGGAAAGTTCCACCAATGTCTCGATCTGGTCGTAGGTCATGGGCCACAGGGTCGCCGTAGGTCACGATGGTGCCAAGGCCTCGCGACACGACCCGAAGCGAGACTTTCTAGAATAGCGAAAAAAGCGTTTAGGGTCAGAAGCATAGTTTCTCAAAATGAATTGGGGGCTAGGCGGTGAAAAAGTGAACAAACGTGCTCCCAATATAGCCGACAAACGAGCTTACCGACGGACTTGACTCATTTTCTTCTTAAAGTTAGGGGCGTCCTAGTCGGGGGGGGGGGGGGGGGACACAACTCATGACTCCCAATCTTCTACTGAACAGGAAACTAAACCCTGGTTTAGGTGTGAAAATTTGGGCGGAGGGTGTCGCGTCTAATTCATTTCATGCAACATCATATACCTACTTTTCATTCTATGACATATCCGGGGTGTAACTGGATCCCTAACGAACAGCAAAGGCACAGCCATGGGCACGGAGTCGACACCGACCACGCGACAAGCGCTGTCGTACCGCCGGCTGTCGTCTTCGCTTAGCCGTCGCCTGTCAGCGACCTGAAAATCGCTCCGGTCGAGGTCGAGGTCGAGGTAGAGATGGAGGTCGAGGTGGTGCGTAGGGTCGCCTGTGTCGGACCGGTCTGCAGGCCTGACACTGGGGCAGGTCCGCTCCGGGACGGATGTGTGGGGCGGCCGACCTCACGCTGGGCTGCTGGGGTCTGGCTAGACGACGGTGCTGCTTCGGCAGGGGCGCTGTTGCTGCCGGAGCTCACAGACCAGCTGTCGTCTGCGCACACACCACACGCGTCCAGCAGCTGCTGGGCGGCGCCCCCGGCTGCTGGCCGGCGCGCGGTGGCAGCTGGTCGTGTCACGGCACGAATGTCACCCGGTGTGAAGCAGGTGTGACCCTTGACACCGGTTCATCGATGCTGACGAGCACACGGGGTTGATCCCATCTGACCTCCAGCGGTGATCTATCTGTAATGACAAGTGAAATTACAGCTACGCCATTCGTTTGTAAATGCTGAATGAGGGTCATTCGTCCTCTAATACACGTTTCGTTGTCTCGGACAAACTGTGACTCGTCGAAATGTCGCCGGGATTGAGGTTGAGTCCGAGAGTCCGCGAGTCTGAGGCTGACTGAGGCTGCGAGACGAGGGCGAACGTTGTAAGAGGATGAGAAGCTCGTGAAACAGTGGCCGCCTGGAGTGCTGCTGTGAACTGGTCCTGCGCTGCATCGTGTTGCGGAGGGTAGGCGTAAGAACAAACGCACGGAAACTTTGTTGCACCGCGCAATGTGATCGAGACGTGAATGAAATATCCGCTGATTACGGACAGCTGGAAAATGCAACATTCGCAATTTCCGCTCAACTATCGTCTAATTACGATCTCCGTTCCTGCTATCAAATGTCACACCATCTTGTGTGCTGAAGCCGCGGCGTGACTGGACGCCTGGGGGGGGGAGGGGGGGACGTCGGCGAGAACTTCCCGGTAACCCAGAACTGTGGGAAGGCCGCTGGCGTCGCGTACTCACGCCGGCCGCGTGTTTTCTTTTCCGGCTTTTTAACACGTGCGTCCGTAAGAACTGCGCTCCGCCCGCGGAGAACGGCACGTCGCCGGCTCTGTGAGAAAGCCGACCAAGGCCCGTCGCAGGAACGTTAATTAGTGGATTGGGTGGTCGCGATCGCGATCTCTGCTACTCGATATCACGTAAATATCTTCTTTTTATCCAGTTTGACAGCATATTATTTGGCGGTTGATTTTTGGGCTGTCGTGCGATCTACCTGGTGACCGCCTCACTGGTGACACCGGGTCATCCCGCCGAAGGGGGGGGGGGGGCGAGAAAGGTGCACCCGGAGCATGACCAGTCTGGGACTGGCGAATGCTCCAGGCGACAGCTCTGGCATACGGGCTAGTCTGTGTTCCGCTCACTGCACCGTCACCGTTCTTTGGACGTCAGGTTCTGCACACTGTTGCCCACCTCGCTGTGGGGTCTATTTGCCTATATTTTGCGACAGGCATGTCTAGGTGGGCGTTGAAGGATGTAACCCACCCAGAAGCTCGGGCTTAAACATAAACAACCTTGATTTCTTTCAATTATTTAGCATTAAACGGTATTTAACAAAGGTTTGGACGAACTTCCGATTACGGAGATGTGGTCACAGTCCCGCCGTGTCGTATCTGGAGGTGGACGGGGCAAGCTGAGGTTTTGTTTGACGTCGTTTCTGATCATGCAACGCCAGTGTTCCAGATATTAACACTCGCCAGGATATTGGGAGTGGGGGGGGGGGGGGGGGGGATGCATTCCTAAGGTTTTTGAGGATGCCTCTCCGTCACGCTACGCAATTGCGCCCACATTTTCAGCAGCCCATGATACATGCATCGGGCGTGTTTTTTTTACACCAAAAACGTCTTCCTAGTTTGTCTAGTTCCGGAGCAGCATCAGTTGAAGAACACTGCGCGGCGATCTACGACCTGCGCGGGCGGGCGGGCGGTTACCGACGGTGCCGCATAGCACGCGGCGGGGCGACATTGCCCCTGAACGGAGTCATGTATCAGAAATGTGCGGCCAAAACACGGAGGAATATACACCGCTGTACTCGGTTGAGCAAGGAACGCGCCTGTCCAGATGTGCTGTCGCCGCAAGACATGGTCTCCTAGGTAGTGATGTCAAGCTGAAAAGGCCATTTTTGGAAAATTCGACCTCTGGCCCGCCATGATCAGGCCAATTATTGACATTATGACTTAAAAACTAGCACCAGTCACGACATCTTGCTAATACCGACCCACCGGTGTTCCTGCTGAGCTTGACCTTCACTAGTTTGAGAACGCCAGGGGGTCGCAGCCCCCCCCCCCCCTTATCAGTCCGCGTTACGAAGAACGGCGGATCAGGGCGAGTGCCACTTTATCCCGGGATGGGAGTAACGCCTTCCTCCTCTGCTTTCCCTTGCTGCCGCAGTCCCTGCTTGGTGGATGCATCTGACCTGTGTTTGGTTCTGTGGTTGGATGCGTGGGCGTTTGAGTACCGGACTAAAAGGGGAGAAGTCGGCTTACTCCCGGTTTTCTATGCACTCGGCCGGCAGGGACGGCTTGGCCAGAGCAAGGCATTTGCGCATATATCAGCTAGCACGCTATTCCAGTACCTCCTGCGCTGATACGTAACGGTCGACTGGCTTGAAACCGATGATATCGCCGTCCACTGTTGATGTCATCAACACATACAGGCTCATATAACCTTCAGCCAGCTATTTTAAAGCTCAACGTTTGCTGCACCTCTCACTACCACACCACCCATGGCCGTGTGTTCAGAAATAGTCTGTGGAAACGGGCCGACTGCGGCGACATTCTATTTCCGTTTATACAGCCTGGCCCGAAAATAATCGCCGGCGTCAGCAGGTCGCGGCCGGGGCGTCGGCGCAGCCTTTGTGGCGCCCTCCCGGCCCGGCCCGAGGGGTGCGATGATGAACCCCAGGGTCCTTGAACCGCTCTTTTTCCCGGCTGGCCCTGGACAAAGGCGGCGGCCGGCCGGGTGGCCGGCGCGGGCCGACTGGCCGCGCCCTGCTCGGGCGCCCTCTCGCCTGCCGGAGAGCCCAGACGGCCGGCCGGCGGCGCAGCTGGTCAGCGCCCTCCCCCCCCCCTCCCCCTCCATCTTCCCGCCGGATGTGTCGGCCCCGCGCCCGCGGTGGTCACGTGGTGCCAGCTCAGGGGGCTCCCCGGCGCCGGCCGCGCGCCACGTGACCGCCGCCGCTCTCACGCATGGTCACCGGTGTCGTGCGTGCGGCGGCGCGCGTCCAGAGTCCACCGGGAGTCCGTACGGCCGGAGTCGGCCGGCCCGCCTGACGCGGCCGCCGTCCGTTCCAGGAGTCAGCATGTCCTAGCGCCGGCGGACGGCTCCAGCAGCGATGGCCGGCCGAGAGCGGAGCACCGACCCGGCGGCCGGCTTCGTCTGTCCCGGCACAGAGTTCCTGCGCCAGGCCACCAACTACGAGGAGATCGGCATGATCGGAAACGGTGGGTCGCTGTTGACGCGTCTGTTTGTTGTTCCACGAGTCGGCGGCCGCAAGTGTTTCTCATCGGCGGCGGCACGACCGAGTGCCAGCGCCAGCGCTTGGGAGTATACAGTAGAGCAGCCAGCCACGTGACGTAGAGAGCGAACGCATGACGAAAATGGTGGGGCGTTGCTGTCACGGAGTACTGCGGTGAGAAACGCCCGCGATGCATGCACTGTTGTCGGCGGCAATGCGGGATGGAGTGAACGGCGCAGCCGCCTGCCACGCTCGGGCGGAGTCGAGGTAGCCGACAGCCGCGTGGGGGGCCGCAGCTGTCTTGCGGCGGCTCCGCTGATGAACAGATGATGTCAAATGATGATCGGTGAATGACGTCACAGGCGGCATTCCGCGGTGCAATAGCGCCCCGGCCGCCGGAAGACCGGTTGTGGCTGGCGCTCCACGCCGGCGGCTCTGCTCGCATGCGCACCTCTTCTCTGTAACTTTGACCGAGCGCTTTTCTAGGAGGGCTTTCGAATACAGGTTCTTGGTGTGTATAACTCGCTGCGAGACGCCGGCTCCTACCATCCCAGATCTGTAATTCTATTTTGGCAGAATCTTGTCCTCAACCTTGTAGCAAACAGCGACGGCATCTGTATCGTGCCGAGCAACTCAGCAAGTGCCCCTTGCCAGCCTGCCCCCCCCCCCCCCGCCTCCTGAGGCAGCCGCCAGCTTGGCGAGCTCTCCACCGAACACTCTGGACACGACTCACCCCACCACGCGTGATGATCAGCTGTCTCTTGTGCGACAGTCGCGCCAGGAGTCGGCGTCTTCGTACGGGGGCGTGAGTCGCGGGCTATCTCGTGTGTATCTCTCGCTCCGCATGCGTGTGTGTCAGTCCATGCGTCTCCCGCCGGCGGCCATCCTCGGCCGTCGCCGGCCCGGCGCCGCCTCTGTCCATACTCGGCGCGGCCGGCGTCGCGCGCTCTCTCTCGCTCGCTCTCCGGGCCGGAGCGGCGCGGCTCTCGCTCGTCCTTCGACCGCCGGCCGGCGGCCCGCCCTCCCGCAGCGGCTGACCCCAGTCAAAGCACCGTTGTCCGCCCGGCTGTCCCGTCCGGCTTCCAAATACCAGAGGTTCGACATAATTACGGCCGTGTGCGTGGGCCCGAGGCGCTGGTGCGGGCCGACTGGCGAGCTCGTCTGGCCGCCGCCGAGCCGGGGGTGGCGTGGGCCTGCGAGCCTACCCCGCTCCCTCTCCCATCTGTCCCTGCTTCTTCGTTTCATACTGTCCTCTTCCTACTGCATTCATGTATTTGTCACCGCTAACTCTCTTACTGCCCTAGCTCTCCCTGTCCTTTCCCTTTCTCAGTATCCTACCGTCCCTCCCTCTCGCTCGCTCCGTTGCGTTTGCACGTCCTCCATCTGCCTCCTCTTGTCATTTTCTTCTCGTCATGTATCCCTCTCCCTGATCGTCGCCCTCTATCCCTGTCTTCTCGCCCTCTCGTCAGCTGTCTAACCTCTGTCTACCCCTATTTGACCAACGCGCGCACTCCCCGCCAGCTCTCCTCCCGCATCGCTCTCGCCGTCCTCCTGCCCTTTTCTTTGTACGGCGCCTGCGCCGTTATCGCCGCTGTCTCCTCCTGTTTATGTCCAGCGGGGCTGCCCTCTCCCCTCGGGAGGGTGCCCCGTCCTCCCGGCCTCTGCCGGCCCGGTCCTCCCAGACCGGCCCGGCCCGGCCCCGCTGCGGTCGGCCGTGAGAAAATGCAGCGGCGGCTGGCCGCCGGCGGCGTCTTGTCAGCACGCGGCGGCGGCGGCGGCGGCCCGGCCGACGCCCGGCTGCAGACGGGGCCGGCTGTGGGAGCGCGCCCCCGATGAATGGCGGGCCGGGGCGGGCTGCTGCAGGGCGGCCGGTCACCGGCCTGGCCCGGCCGCCGGTCGTTGACAACGGCCGCCGCACGTGTGCCGCGCCCAGCCGGCCTGCCCACCGACGTATGCCAGGTCATGTCTGGCGCGGCCGCCGCGGCCGGCCCTTTTTGCGTCACGCGGAGCAGCCGCCGGCAGGTGATCAGCCGGCGGCCGGTGGACGTCTGCTGCTGGCCAGCGGACGTCTCCGCTGGGTGGACACGGACTGACCGAGGGATGACCACCGGTCAGTGCCGGTGGCCGGTGGACGTCTGCTGCTGGCCAACGGACGTCTCCGCTGGGTGGACACGGACTGGCCGGGGTGTGACCACCGGTCAGTGCCGGTGGACGCCACTGATGGGTGGACGGCCGCCGGCCGTTGGACAGCAGGCGCCCCAGACAAACGTTCAAACAGGCCATGGCAGGCCAAGGCCGCCCGCGAGAGCGGGGTGGCCAGCCAGTCATTCAGACGGCCTTTGCAGGCCCGGCCAGATCGTTGGTGAAGGTGTTAACCGCCGCCGTGCTTGGTGGTTGCAAGATTCTGCCCGTATCCTTCGTTTTATCGCCCGTTCATTTAGTGATTCACACCTTTGTTGACAATATTACGCTCATTGAAGGTTTTACTTTACGGTTACTTGTCGGTGTGGCTGCATCAATTGTCGGTATATCTTTTATAAAACGGGCGATCCCTTGCAATAAAAGTAGTTGTTTTTTAATGTTTCTCTCGTGGTAAGCTGCCTTCTGCCAACCAGAGGTGACTCCAGTGGATATAAGTGGCCACTTACCGTCGGATAAGGCCTAGTCTCAGTGCGTTGCCACATTGCACAAGCTTTCCCCTTCCGCTTTTGCACAGTGGCCCTGGCCCCTGCACAGCATGCCACGCATTGCGGTCCGGGCGTGCCGCGGCCGTAGAGCGCCGCCGGCCGTGGTCACTCCCGCTGTTCAGTTGTTCCTCCGCGCCGCGCCGGCCGTCCGGCCGCGGCGCCGGCTGATGCTATTCAGGAATGTCCGTCCCCATTCCGGGCGGGCGGCCGGGACAAGCAGGCGGCGGAGTGCGCTCCCGGCCGTCGCTCGGCCCGGCCGGGAGCTGCCTGTGTGAGGGCGCCCGACGCACCATCTGCGCCGCCTCACACGCCGGTGCCGGCCGCTGACGAGCGGCGGCGCCCGGAGCCGGTGGGTCTGGTGGCTCCGGTCCCGGGGGACGTCCGAGGGGCGGGCGCCGGCCCGGCGAGGCCCGGCCGGAGCGGAGCGGCGAGGTGGCTCCTCGCCGTGACGCCGCCGGGGACGGAGAGCCGCGGCCAGTCCGCCGCGTCGATGCCCTGCCGCGGGAGGCGGCGGAGAGTCGGTGCCGGGCGCCGGGCTGGCCGTCCGGCGGGTGTCGCCACGCCGGCCGAGCTTGCCTACTCGCGTCTGACGCGCCCGGCCCTAACCCGTCCCCTGTCCGGACACCGTGGCGACACTGGCCGGCGGCCGGCCGCCCTGCGCCGGGCCCGACGCGGCCGGCCGCAGGACTGGGCCGTCGGGTCAGCCGGCGGCCGGCGGTCGGGGCAGCGCCGCTCAGCTCAGCTTCTGGGCCGTAATTGACGACTCGGCGTGTCAGGAATGTTAATACGGCCATAAAGGAGGCGGTCCGGGCCGGCCAGGAGCGGACCGGGGCCTCCGTTGGCCCGCTCGCCGTCCTGACCAGCCGGGCCGACCCCCGGCCGGCCGTCCCCAGTGGAAGAGCCGCCGGTCGCCGCCTGAGCGGACTTGGAGCTGGACACGTCCTGACGCTCAGACCGCATTGTTGACGCCTTTGGTTTTGTCCGGCGAATAATGTAAACTGTTAGTCCTGCTTTCGCTTGAATCTGAAAGCACTGAGGCCGCGTCCGTGCAGTCGATGCGCCTTAAAGCAACCTCAGCAGTTGTGTGCGTCATAAACAACCCCAGCGACGGAAGCATGCATGCAGTAAAGGGCAGCGTTCCCTCCGCTTGTTTCGAATCTCACAAGATGTGTGCCTACAGTGCTCCTGCGTTCGTCCCTTGCGTCACCTTCAGCATTGGTCCCTCGCGTTACCGTTAACATTTGTCCCGTACTCGTCCCTTGCGTTATCTTCAGCATTCGTCCCTCACGTTACCACTGAAATCGACCCCGTTACACTTGGCCGATTTGGTAACAGGCGTGGCTGACCCTTAAGTGATTTTTATCTCATCAGTGACGGCGAGTTGTAGCTCGAAGGCGGACGGAATATGTGCTCCCGGTTATCTATTCACATCTTTCCTGATGTCCAAATATTATACCAGAGTTTCCAAATTAGGTCATAATTGGAGTGGAATGAGCTCCAATTATACACCACTTGTCAAGGTCTACTGCTTTACGCCCCCATTAATATTTAAATCAGAGTTGAGGGCAGCGGTTTCCCTGCTTTTACAACACTGATTGTGATCTCTGGACAGTGTTGTCTCTTGGTTTGATTTAATACCTCCGATTTGTTTGCCACCCACCGCGTATGTATCGTCTGTGTTTATCCAATTCTTGTGGGAACATAATTTTAAGTGGCATGACGTTGCTCCATCTTCTGGAACGTCGTCCAGACACACAACACGATATGATTGGGTTAATTACTGATCGTGAGGGCAGGTGTCGATCGTGCCGGCGCGCACTCAGCTGACGCGTGACCTCCAATTACGCTCCCCGACCGCCGCTCCAGTTGGAGAATGCGTTACAGACCGGCCGATGGGGCAACCGCGGCGTCGTCGTACTTTGTGGCCCAGCGCGTACAATCTCTGTGACCCAGCGCCTACGTCTTTGTGCCGGAGCGCGAACAATCTGTGACCCAGCGCTTACGTCTTTGTGCCGGAGCGCGAACAATCTCTGGGACCCAGCGCCTACAACATCTGTGACCCTGGGCGTAAATGACCAATGCAGCTGACGCGTCCTTAGAACTCCATAACTAACTATATCTGTGGCCCAGCGCGTTCAATATCTGTGATCCAGCGCATACGATTTCTGTGACCCAGCGCAAACAATCCGCGACCAGCGCGTACAATTTCTGTGACCTAGCGCGAATAATCTCTGTGACCTAGCGCATACAATCTCTGACCCAGCGCTTGCAATTTCTGTGACCCAGCGCGTACGATTTCGTTTGACCCCGCGAGCGATAGATTATTCTCGGCGTGTGTGTCGCAGCGTTAAGTCATCCCGACCCTCCAGCTTGGCTGCTGGCTGACAGCAGCGTTTCGGGTACGTTTGCACTCCCGCGGCCGCCGTCTCACTCCGGCGCGCTCCGCTCCGACAGGCGCGTACGGCACGGTGTTCAAGGCGCGCGACCTGCGCAACGAAGGCCAGATGGTGGCGCTGAAGAAGATCCGGGTGCGTCTGTCGGACGAGGGCGTGCCCATGTCGACCCTGCGCGAGATCGCCACCCTGCGCCAGCTGGAGAAGTCGGAGCACCCCAACATCGTCAGGTCAGTGGCCAGAACCCGGTCAGACGTGGGCCGGTCGGTGGGAGCGAGCGCCAAGCACCCCAACGTCAGGTCAGTGGGCAGAACTCGGTCAGACGTGCCACGTTTCCATTCCCATGCATTGCTTTCGGTGCCATTCCTGGCAGCATCAATGCGTGCTACAGCATAGTGCATACGTTCAGATGGATCTCCTCGTGGAACCGCCGGTGGCCCGGGCCTCGCCGTGTCTCGACTCCCTTCTTCTCCCCGTGTAGGCTGTCGGGCCGGTCGGTGCGTGTCTCGACTCGCCTCCCCTCCCCGCGTGGACTCTGGGGTCGGTCGGCGAGCGTCCCTTCTCACTTCCTCCCCGTGCAGACTCTGGGGCCGGTCGGGGCTCTTGAGCGGGTCGGCGAGCTCTGTAGCCCGTCTGCTTGGGCAGTGAGCCTTTTGCCCGTCCTCCCTAGTTAATTCCACTTTGTTCTGCACTTAATTGGCTTTCATTTATCTCGGTAAGGACGCGCAATGGACGGGCGCCGAGGTTGTTTGTGTACCAGAACGTTGTGTGCCGCCTCGGGGCTGGTTTATGAAACGGCTTTTCTGAACGGAGGGTGGGTACACGCACCGTTTGGGCCGTCGTAAACAGATGTGGGAAAAGCTCCGCGCGGAAACGGCCGCTTGCACTTTGCCCCGGCGCGATATGGTAAACAGCCGACTCGCTATGTCCGGAGGACAAACAGCGTGTCCCGAGATGGCGAGGGAGAAAGACAGTCGCTCACTCCGAGCTGTTGTGGGGCCGGGCAGCGGCGCTGAATAAACAGGAGTTGACTGCCAGTGGCCTCCGATGGGTGGGCACCGGTCGAGCTGGTCGGCGCCGCCGTACCGGCTCGGTATTACCAGTGGCCTCCGATGGGTGGGCACCGGTCGAGCTGGTCGGCGCCGCCGTACCGGCTCGGTATTACCAGTGGCCTCCGATGGGTGGGCACCGGTCGAGCTGGTCGGCGCCGCCGTACCGGCTCGGTATTACCAGTGGCCTCCGATGGGTGGGCACCGGTCGAGCTGGTTGGGGCCGCCGTACCGGCCCGGTATTCATGTCCGACGGCCCGATGACGGCGCGGGACGTGCTGACCCAGGCTGGCGTGAATGTCAGGGTGTTTGGCACCGGCTGCGTGGGCGCAACCGGCGGCTGACCCGCCGCACGTGCTGTGGTCAACTGCTGAGGTCCGGCTGTGGGGCCGACAGCTGTGTTTGGTGCAAGTTTGGCTGTCCGGTCAGCTGTCCGGCCTCCCGTCCGGCCAGCTGTCCGGGCGGATGGTCAGGTGGGGTTCGCCGTGAGCTGCGGCCGTCCCTCTGTCCGGCCGCGGTAGCCGTGCCTCAGCTACTGTGCCCAGCTAGCTGGCCGTGGCCGGCTCACCAGAAGCGGTCGCGCCGCCGGCCGGGACGGAGCACGTGACGCCGCCGGCACCGCTATCTCCGCCACGCCGCCGACGTCGGGCGCGCCTCACCCGGCTCCCACGCGCCGGCGCCGCCCACCCACCGCTCGAAAATAAATACGGCTCCGATACGGCCCACTACGGGGGCGTTCCGGCGATCTGCGACCCGGCATCGCCGATACCGATCCGCTCGGCGGCGACGCTGGCGCCGGCGCCGCGGCATCCGCGTCGCTGATGTCTGCCCGCTCCGAGTCGGACCAGCGACTGGGGCGCGGCGCTGCGGCGAGCCGCCGGCGCCCGACCGGCGGCGCGGCCGGCACGTGCAGAGCGTGCAGAGGTCAGGCGCGCCGCGGCTGGGTCGGGGCCAGCGCCGGGCGCCGCTCCGTCTTTGGCGCCGGGCCTCTCCCCCGGGACGGCGACCCCGCCGTGACCCCGCCGTGACCGCGCCGCTGCCGACCCAGCGCCAAATACGGGCCGCGACGTGTCGACGGACTGGAAGGCGGCGCGGACCGTCGGCGACTCGTGCTGTCGGCCGAGAGCAGCGCCGGGTGTTACGGTGCTTGTCCATACACGCCGACCCCCTGCCGGATGTCTGTGGCCTCAACATGGACGGAGGAGGTCGTCGGCTGGCGAAGAACCCCCTCCGGTCTCCGTCTCAACTGGGCGAGAGCGAACGTACATTTTGTGGGATTGTCAGCACGCTGCACACCAATGTAAAAAGTGTCGGTATGTCGCCAGCCATGCCGCCGGCGACGCTGCCCTTGTAGCAGGATGTGGTGCCGTTGCGCGGCGGTCTGCACCGATCAGCTGATGCCGCGAAGGTCACCCTCCCCCTCGCGCGCCCTACCCCGCCCCGCCGCCGATGACCGGTTGCGGTGTCGACGACCGTGGCTTGGGGTCGGTGCCTCCGGGTCCTCCGCTAATCACCCAGGAGCGAAGCGAGGGAACGGTCGAGAGACGCCCAGTGCTGACACATCGGGTCGTCTGCAGGGGTCTGCAGGGGTCTGGAGGAGTTGTCTGCAGTGGTCTGCAGGGATCTGCACGGGTCGTCTGCAGGGGTCTGGAGGGGTCAGCAGGAGTCTGCAGAGGTCTGCAGGGGTCTACAGGGATCTGTAGGGGTTGTCTGTAGTGCTGGACATAACACACTCGGGTGGAATGTGGAAAAACTCAGGGGCAGTGCACAATGAATAAGCGCAGCCAAGGGACTGGCTGGGACCCCCCCCATCTTAGGCCCGGAAGTTTTGCTCTTAGCACCATAGTTGGTTCTAGACAGAAAGTTATAAGCCGGCATGGAGTTCTCACTAAGATCCGCCCCGTCCCTTCCCCCCCCCCCCCGTAGAGAATCCTGGCGGTGCCCCTGGCACGATGCACAAGTGCAGTATGCAGCGCTGCTAGCTTTATGGGAAAAACTAGGACGCTCTCTCATCCGTGTGGCGGTTGTCATGGCTGTCCTAATCGGGGTTCAGCACAAGCTCTGTTCACACACAGTGCGGGGGTCGCACATGGCTGTCTCGAGCCAGTGGCGGTCGCGGTCCACGGGGCAGCCCGCTGCCCCCTGCCGCACGCCGACACGTGCGGCTCGCTCCGCCGCATTGCAATGTCAGGCCCCGGAGCCGGCTATTTGTAAAAGATACCGTCGTTTCGCTGTTGGCTGTTGCTGAGCGTGAAGATTGTTCGGTGTGCTTTTGACTATCAGTGTCACCGTGAGACGTTGACAAAGGCGCTTCCCGCTTTGGAAGTGGATGCTTACGTCTGCTGAATGGGCGCCTGTTTTCATAAACACCGGGTTTTGGACTCCGATCGTCACGTGTCATGTCCGGCCACTGATTGTTATGGACTGGTGCGAATCAAACTCGGTTTTTCCTTTTTATTACAGCTTTCCTTAGCTCTAAAAGTAGCAGTGAGCTGGAGTTGATCGCTGGTGTCGGAGTTCGTGTTCTTTATTGTTTGGTGATAATGATCCAATTTAGTCATCACAGTGATCCAATTTGCGCAGGAGGCTTGCGCCAGACTGTATTATTCTTCTGCTAAGGCGTTATGTTCCGTCGACAGATTTGGCACTCTGTTCTCTAGCATACTCCTTGTATCTTGCTCGCCACACGATGCAAAAAAGTCGCGTCAGATTTTCACAACCTACCCGGGTGCTTGCGAAAAAGTTGGACTATCGTTGAACACTGATCGCCGAGCTGCTTGAGGGCGTCCATGGAAAACACTCCACCACAGGCCCCGTGTCGGTCTGCCGGCTCAGTCTGCGTACCGCTCCGTCCAGTGTTCGACATTGACTGGAGGTCATTACGCGTGGGCGGTGCTCCTCACGCCGCGGCTGCCGGGCGATGAAACGACGCCGGCGCCGCCGTCACGCGGCCGTTTCCGCCCGGCGACGCGTCCGATAAAGTGACGCCGATTCGGTGCGGTGCGCAGAACTGCGCGGCCGCTGTCGAGATACGGCCGCGCTGGAGCACGTGGCGCGCGCCCGTGCGTCGCGCTGGGGTGCTCGTGTCGGGTCCGCGGCAGCAGTGGCGACGGTGGCGGCAGCGGCGGCGGCGGTGGTGGCGGCGGCGGTGGCGGCGGTGGCAGCGGCGCCTCAATGGGCGGGCTCGGTCGCGGGCGCAGGGACCCATGCAGCTGGGGTCACCGTATCTGCTAAGGTCCCCCCACCCCATCGAACCACCTCTCTGCCTTCGTGGTCACCTCCAAACTAGGAAAACAACACGGAAAACACGCAGACGTTTTATATTCGATTCTAACTTAGGGGTACGTGTAGCCAAATGAAGCCCTTGCAGCATTCGAGCTTATAAAAAAAAACTTCACTAGGGTGCATGGTACAATTACGCTTACATTTCGCTAGCAGTCCGTGACATGTTAACACCATCCTTGTAGATGGGCCTGCATTAGGTCGTGGAACAACAGATCTAGGCGTTGTTTTTCGCTAGGTTTTGCGTGAAGCTTCAGGTCCAGCGCTGACCCCGGGCCCGAAACCAACCCATCAGAACGCACTGCCTCTATACCGCCGAGTCCGCCTGGTGCTTCGGACCGACAGAGGCGCAGTTGAGCAGCTGAGCTGTCGGCTCATCAGCTGCTGCGGGCCGCAGCTGCTCGGGCCTGCTCGGCCGGCTGCCGCCGGGCCGCCCTCGGCCTCGCCGGCTGCCGCCGGGCCACGCTCGGCCGCCCGCAGGGTCGCCTGATCGCCGGCCGACTGCATCGGACGCTGGCGCCGCCATTTAAATGCGGGAGGGCCAGGTGCGGCGCGCTCACCACCTGCCGTTGCGGGCGTCCCGCCGCCGGCCGCCGACGCTGGCGGTTCAACACGCGCAGGGAGGGACGCTGGAACGGTGGAGGGAGGAGGCGGATCTCGCCCCCTCCACCATCTCGAGAACCGTAAGAGGTAGGGTAACGGAGCTCAAAGGGTCGGTGGGTACTACAGGGAACTCAGTTAGGTGAAAAAGCCGCGACACTAAGCCAAGATCTTCAGGGTCAAATTAAGTCAAACATGTAAAGTTTTGAATATTTTGCACGGGTTGGCTTGCAAACTTTGTGCGGTGCCGTAATTTTGTTTAAATGCATTGACATGGGACAAAGCTATGTTGTTGACTT